CCCCCACAACCTCAACCTCAATCAAGAAAATAGAAAGAAAAAAAGAAAACATACACTCCGGCCCAACCCCCCTCGGCCTCGCCGTCTCAGCAGCAATAGTAACCGGAACCGAGGAGGCGAGGGTACCAAGAAGCACCAGTGCTTCGACCCTTTTCATGATTGCGTATCGTTATGGTGTTTGCGCGTATGGTGCCTCCACCTATCGCTGTGGTGAAAAGAGAAGAAAAAGAAAGAGGAATTGGTGGTGGTGTGTTGTCTGTCCACAAGACACCTGTGTAGTAGTGTAAAAAGAGAAAGGCTAGCTCCAACCGAGCTCAGGTCAGTGTCCCAAAAAAGCGGAATCGATTAAATGGTACTCATGGAGGCCCGTGCCATCTCGGACATAAAAGAGGCCACTTAGCCATGTCTACACCACAAAACAGCCAAAAATCATATTCCACTAACCCTAACTTTTAGCCCTAACCCTAACTCTAACCAAACCCTAACCCGAACCTGTCTACACTTTTATTTCTAATCCTAATAGTAAGAAAATAGTAGGTGTTATAGTAGTATCTTAGTAGTGGAGAAGGAGTGGAACGTCTTGTAGTGAGTGGCCTGTGCGTAGGCTTATACATGCATGAGTTATGCATGCATGAGTACCATTTAATCGATTCCGTTTGTTAGGTACGAGTACCTCTGTGACCTCACTTCACCTTGATATAGGTATGAAGCTCCCTCTAGAATTAAAAAGAAAGAGAAAAGATGTAAAGTTTTAGAGGGAGGTAGAAAGAGGAATCCCATCCTTCACTCAGATTTTGGACATCTACCTACTCTCTCTTCCCCCTTCTCCCCTCCCAAACCCCCCACAAACAAAAAAAACCCAATCAAGGAACAAAAACAATCATCCACACATCCACACATCCACACATCCACACATCCACACATTCAAGAATTCCACCGAAAAAAAAGTGATCTTTATCTTTTTAATTCCCACCCTACCTAGAGTCTCGAGCTACTGTATGGCCGAGATGGCATACAAGATACACAATAAGCCACGACACCCCCCATCAGCAAAGACAACTACAGTAAACTAAGTATTTACCACAGAAATAAATCCCCCTCTCCCTCTCCCTCTCCCTCCCCCAAACCCCACACAAACACAAATTCCACTCCATTCCATTCCATTTCATCCCATCCCCTTCCCTTCCTCATCCAACAATACCAGCACAGAGCCTGCTGAGCCAAAAACGAAAAAGGGTCCATACAGTACAACATTGCCTACCATCCCCATCCCCATCATATCCCCCCTTCGACAAATTTACTCGTAATCTTACCCATCCTCCCTCCCCTCTCTCCATTCAACCCCATCCCCCTAAAAACATTGTTTATAAAACCCGTTCTTCCAAATTCATACGCTCGATAGCAAACACTCTCAGTCAAAAAACGCCGTGAAAGATTCCATTCCATTCTTTTGAAAATGCCAACGATGGGCCATTGGGGGGGGGGCAAGATGTACAAAAAAGTAAATGGAAAAAAAAGGAAAAGGTCATGTAAAACATTATTCGATATTTGTGACAGGAAAAAGAAATCAAGGAAATGACATGGGTATATATGATCTTCAGGTCTGTTCATTCGAGACAGACAACAAGGCGGCTTTTTCGTCTTAAAACATCGTACCTTCAGTGGCAGGTGAAGGGCGTGGAGGACTGTTATTTCTCGACTCAGCATAATTGCTTGGCATTGCTGCAGTAGGAATAGCTGGTGCAGCTTGTCGGGCTTTAGCACTGAGAGTTCCACCCTCACTGGAGATTTTTCGTAGCTTTTGTCGTGGTTTACTAGGCTTATCATCTCCATCATCGGAAAACGTACTCATTTCTTCCGTAGATTGAGTAGCAGCAGGCAGAGAATCGACATCATCAAGGTCTTCCTTCTTTCTCAGTCCAAACATGCCACGGGTTTGACGTCGCATGGGATTGACGGGTGGAATCGGTGGAGCAGATTCTTCCATTCCGTTAGAAAGAGAAGCCTCTGGAGGTAGGTTGACTGTGGTAATTCTGGAAGTAGAAGAGACAAAGGTTGGCTCCGAAATTTGATGCTTACTGATTGAACGCTTACGAGCGCCAGGGTGGTGTTTCTGATTTTGAAATGCCGGTGTGACGGGTGTGTTCACAGCAGAGTTACCGGGAGAAGGTTGTACTGGAGTTGCATTGAGCACAAACGGAGCAGTAGGTGATGGTCGTGGGGATAGTGGAAGGCCCACAAAGCCCTCGGTTTTCATCGGCTGAAGTTTCTGGGGTTCAAAATAGCTTCCAGGACCTGGGCCAGCTCTACTGTTGCTTCGAGATCTACCACCCGGAGTCAACATTGGAGAAGGACCGATCGGTGAGGGAATCATCGGCGAGGGAACCGGGGAATGCCCAGCCATAGTTCCCGGTGTACCTGGAGACTTTGGAGCAAGGTGGCCATGGCTTGGAGTTGGTAATCCTCCCATGTCATCCTTGAACTTTCCATTTCTGCTCTTGGAACGTGGGCCTGAGATATCAGAGGTTGACCGATCTCTAGATGGACGAGGTGAAGACTCGGATCGGTTTGAATCCATGTTATTTTGGCTTTCTTGGCCCATAGTGCGTTGCCGTGGTGGCATTTGAAGAGGCGCAGACATATCCCCTCGACCTGGAGGATACGGTCGAGAAGTTTTGATGTTTGGTGGCACTCTCTGGTTATAAGCCTCTCGTTGTGGGCGATGCTCTGGAACCGTACTTGACCATTCCGAGTGATGCACATCTCTCTCATTGCCTTGGTTGTGTCTCATGGTTATTTGCCGTTCTCGTTCTCGCTGCGCGTCTCTGCGAGCTTGTCGAAATGCCTTGGCTTGTGCTGGTACAAATTGCCCTTTTTGCCCACCTGTCATTTGACCTTCCTCACTCATTGAGGGTCCATTCGCAACTGGTTCACCATCATGTCGCCGATGAGCCTCGGCATCAAAGTTTTGTCTATTTGGAGACGGAGAACTGGTCATGGTTGCACTTCCAAGACCTAGCATCTTCATACTTTTGGATGGAGGTGCATCCTTTACTTTGACCGAGAGAGTACCTCTGCTTGTCTTGGCTCTCAATAAGCCCAAGGGGTTGGACTTGCTAGGAAGTGGTTCTCGGTGTTCTGCTACAGGACTTGATGATCTGCTGTCGGTTTCGACAAAGCTTTTCAAATTCTCCTGCACACGCCTGCGTCGTTCCGCGAGGTCATTTTTGAAATCTAGGCGCTCCTTTTGCGTCTCGGTGCTACCATCTCGGGTATGGTGTGATGTCAACTCTCTCTCCCAAGAAGCCTTTCGACTTTCTTCTGTTGTCTTGGTATGTGACGGCCGTAATCCGGGTGGGGAGATGGGCTGTGTCTCTTTTTTCATTGGTATTTGCGGCTCAGTACCTTGATTGTCTCCATAGAATCCCTGATCCCAAGTGTCATCATGGTCCCATGGATTACTTGTGCCATTGTAAATATTTTGTGGCATGGGATCCATTGGATCAATGGGAAATCTAGAGGTCAAAGGGCCAGTTGAAGCGCCGTCGCCGTATGCAGACGCACCTCCGTAAACAGAAGACGAGTTGCTATCAACCCTCATGTGTTGACGCACCATTCCACTCAGTCCGCTCATCGTAGCGGTAGGGCCTAAAGTAGGCGAGTCCGCGGGAACGGCTGCTGGTTTTGTGAAGTCAGGTGTTAGAAGGCCTGGGCTGCTTTCGGGCACAGAACCAGTACTGTCGGCGTTCTTTGTTCGATTCGCCGGATGCTGAGACTCGGGCGGTCTTTCTAAATTGATATTCCGGTCATGAAAATTCATTTTAGTGAGATCTACCGCACTAGCCTTCGGTTTCAGAGGCACTTCTTCTGGTGAAGATACTGTGCTTTCATCGGGGGAATTCAAGAATGTTCCCGCAGCATCAGTGTCCTCCGGAATCTTGGTATGTACCATGGGCAAAGGTCCTGAGGAAGGGCCTGGTGGAAAGAATTGCCGCTGCGCAGACGAACTGGATCTCGACCTTCCAGAATTACCAGATGCAGCCGATGCAAAAGTTGCGTTGGACCCTGCACGACTGCGTGGAGGCTGGCGTGGCACAAAAGCGCTAGGAGGGGAATGTTTCCGAGTTGGTGGTACGTCTCTACCCTGTTGCATCTGTACCTGCCGTCGACTGTACTTTCCTTCGTCATATGCGTGGGACGGTCTTGGAAAGACACCAGTAGCAGTGGCCTTGCCTCGGTCGTTGGGTCGTACTGGTAGTACTACCATATCATCCTGTTCCATCATTGACGGGCTTAAAGGCGGCGAGGCAACTCCATATGACTTTGAATCCGGGTGGTCAATAGATTTGACTGCAAAATCAAATTTACCAAGGGCAGCGTTCGGTGGTGGACTTGTCGTTCGCATATTTGGCATACTTCCTTTGCCTCCAAGAGCATGTTTGTCCCATCTATCGATCAAGTGGGCAGTTCCGGTGGGAGATAATGGACCCGTAGGAGAATTCATTGGGGAATTCCCCGAGCCCATCGTTCGCTTGCTCAGGGTGTCAATCCTACTCATTGCCGAGTGTTGTTGTTCATGCAGATGCTGATCAAGCCCTGTCTCGTACAGCCGACGGGTCTTGGTTGCGGATCGTTCGAGGTTACCATTATTCGTGGAACCTCCAGGCGTGTTTGGTCCATGGGATCCACTCAAAGATGGAGTTCGTTGAGAGGTAATGGAAGTGGCAGCAGTAGAAATTCGGGCATTGCTAGGGCCAGTAGATGATGTGGTTGAGGTCGTCTCTCGATTACGATTGTAGCCAGACAATTGAGGTGATGGTGGCCGAGAGGCTTGAGCCTCTGCTTCCTCACGCTGTCCCTTCTCCACACGTTCCCGCTCCTCTTCCCTTTCCTTCTCCTCTTCCCTTTCCTTCTCCTCTTCCCTTTCCTTCTCCCGTCGCTTCTGGAATTGCGACTGGCTGACATCGTGATCGTATAAAGCTCGCCCTCCCATTCCTCCGCTTTCACCCAAACTCTTTGTTGACGCGGTCGATTTTCCTGGAATTTTATAGATCTTCTGCCGTCCTCCAAACAAATTATTTCCTTCCCCGGGTTTCGATCGGTTCATTATGCTCCCATCGTCATCTCCATTTAGCGTGCTGTAAGAATCCTTCCTCTCCTTCGCATATGACGGTTTGCGAGAGCCATGTATTGAGGAGACCTCGGCGATATCTGATAGGCCATATGGTGATTGAAAGCTGAAATCATTGAACTTTTGCTTGGGAAAGAGAACACTATCATCACTTGCTTTCCCGAGTTTGGAATTCGGATCGTCCTGTTCTCGCAGCATAGAAAATCGAGCCGATAGACCACTCATCAACAGACTCGTTCGGAAGTCATCAGAAGAAGGCAATGCATTGGCAACGTCGAGTGGAGCGGGGGCTGGTTCGGGTTCCTGCTTCTTTGCTCTCCCAAAGGTTCTCACCTTCTTGATGGGGTGTATTGATGGCACTTCAGAATCAGTGGAGGCGCGCGCAGGTGGTTCTGCCACCTCCTTGGCCTTTTTCTTCGTCCTAACCCAGTTCATTATGCTTGCTGTCACTCAGATTGCCGTCTGCGAGAAGGTATTAGCAGCGACACGATCGAAGGAGGCTTCGGTTGCACAAACAATGGCAATTGCAATTCTTACGGAGCACGCCCACCGGTGCGAAAATGCGGGCCCTCCAATTTGGCTCTACTAATAACGGAGGCGAGGAGCGGTGGAGTCCAATCAGGGGAAATTTGAAGCGGGTGACGGCTGCGAGGGGAATATCCAAAGGTGGAGGTAGAGCTGTCGAAATACAAGCATTAGCCTTGAAGGTCAAAATTGGGTTTCGGCATCAAGAACTTTTGGGAAAGTATGGGGAATGGCAGCCGGTCAGGTGGAAAGGGAATCCCGGTAGGAAAAAAAGAGATAACGCGCAATCACCCTTTTGGTGTAAGGATTTGCAAACTGGGGGGGTTTTTTTTTTGAAGGTCGCGATACTTACAGGTGGAACCGACTTTGGTGGTGTTGAGCCGGTGCTTCAGAGGTCCAAGTGAATGTGTCGGGCTCGTTTCGTCAACCCTGAGTGATGGGATGGTATACGTGAAGGGCTATGCCTTTCTTGCGTTCAACTATAATCTGCCTTTCCTCTGAGGGGACGAATGAAAGCGCGTAGGGTGCAGGCGAAACCGTTTCGGAGGCTCAGTAACCAGCTGGGCTGTGACCGTTGATCGAGTACAGTATTGACTTGACTTGAGTGCTGAAAAAGAATGGAAGGATTGCTGGACGAATGGAATGTCAACGGGCGTGGGTTGGAAGAGAGTCGGACGGAATGGTGCAGATGCTGGGTGACCTTGCGCGGAAATTCGTACCACTATGCATTAATATTGGAAAGCCGCCAGCTTGGTAATTTGCAAAAGAGTGTGGGTGGTGGTGGTGGTGTTTGACGATTAATGTATCGACAAGCTCGGGTCATCAAAAGGAAGAAAACATTGGGATGGGCAAAGGTAGATGTTTCGAAAAGAATGGTGGTGGGTTGGTAGTGGTGGAGATGTCGGTCAGAGGTTGAGTTGAGGTCGAGGATGAGGATTTCAAAGGAGGGTTAAGGTTGGTGGTGGTGGTGCTGGTGGTGGTGGTGCTTGGGATTTCAAGAGGAAGAGGGCAGCAGCTACTGTGAGCTCGAGAGGCAGAGAAGAGAGAGATCAAGGGTGGCAGGAGCAGGGGCCAGGGGGTACGATTCAGATTTAGGTGCAGGTGCAGGTGCAGGTGCAGGATGTAATGCTGGACACACTTTTTTTTTCTTCGCTCACTCAACGCCATAAAAAGCGATGGAAAAGTGACTGTGACAGCAGTTAGTGACAGGTGGAGCGAGCGTTCGCAGCCGGGCCCTGGCTTGGGGAGTCGAGGCGGAGGAGCACAGCGTGGCGGCGGTCCAGGAAGTGGGAGTGGGAGTGAGAGGCCCTTGAAGGCCCTTCATCTTCAGGTCTTCAGGGGGGTCGAGGCGGTTGTTTACTGGTCGGTTGGCCCGTTCTTGCTGGGAGCTAGCGTAAGCTGGTGTGAGCTACCCCTGAATTTCAGGCCCCTCACCCTAAGCACATGCCTGCATCATTCAAGCACTCACCACACTCAAGCACTCAAGTACTCAGCAGCAAGCACCAAGCACCAAGCACCAAGCAACAAACCACCCTCTTGAACATCCACGATTCCGCCCCTCAAGCTCTCGCGTACAATAATAGCCACTACACGATAATTACATGACAGGAAGAGCTGACTGCGGGCCATACGGAGTATGCAGACACCACACCCGAAGGCAGACTGGCTGACGATTGCTTGGCCAGCATCCCTTGGGTATTGAGGCCGGGGCGAGGCGCGATGGCCCTTTGACGATGACCTGTGCCTGGAGGGAGCCTCATTCAGGCAATCAAAGGCTGCCAGGCTACTGCAGGTACGGAGTGCACACTACATTTTATACCACACATCCATACCTACATTTACCTCCGTACACGCCTCAAGGGGGTGGGTGTATAGCAGTAGCTCGCAGGATGCAGCATCGCATCACAATCAGCATCGGCGCCCAAATCTGCAGCAATCTACCTACTGATCCATCAGGTCCCATTGGTCTGTAGCGTCGGCTCTTGAGCCTTCACTACCGATGGGGGTATGCAGTTGCGCCTGCAACCACTCAACCCCTTTTCCGCGCCAACAACACCATCGCTCACATCCGTTTCATCTGCATCTGGCTGGTCCACCCAGCGCATGCGCATAGCGGCAAAGAGCCAACACGCTTATGGCTCAATGCTCATCTCCCGCGGGATGGAAATTATACACTTTATATCTTCGCTCACTCTCGACGAAAATAGTCTGCTATCATAATGACATCTCGCAGGGCCACCGTCCAGGTGCCAGGTGCCAGGTGCCAGGCTCTACGTAACGACGCATAGAGTTGCTCCATCTGTTCGGAAATAATCCGTACACTGACCTCACGGGCCATCCATTTTCTTCCAGGTTTTCCGGCGACGCGATGCGTCCAGCCCTTCCCCTTCAGCGGAGCGGAGCGGCACCTGCCAGCTGTGGTAAGCAGTCCATCTATCAATCGGCTTCTTGACATGCAGACGGATGTGGCTTTTCTGGTCTTCGTCCATGGTACTTCGGAGTAACATTTTCGTGAAAGATTCGCGTCAAGGCTTTTGCTCCACGCCCAGCGAAAGACGACATACAAATCAAGACGTCGGAATTCTATCGTCATCTCGTTCAAGAGACGAGCGCACAAACGACTTATGCAGCATGTCTCGGACCGGCGAGCAGCGTATTCATTGTGATATACCGTACATAAACTTTGGATCTACGCCCAGTTCGTCCGTTTGTTCGCCCCGGACGATCATTTTGAAATGTCAAACTTCAGTATTTCACCCCTTACTTTCCAAAACAACCTTTCTGAATCACCACTCGATTCTTTCTTTTTCCGTGGCATCCTCGCATGTTTGTTATCTTTGAGACTTTGACAATCGAGTGGCTGTAGACGCAGCCGCACGTTCAACTCTCTGGCCCAGCCGAGAAAGTTTGTGGGGAGAGCAGAGCACATGGCGGCCGCGCGCGTCTCCAGAAAACAAATTACTGGTATCTTGTCCCTAGATAAGCTATCTGCAGCCTCTAGTTCAAACTCTTCACGAACCCTTCTACACCTGAGGTTCAGCAAGGGAAAGGGGTGCATAATTCATGAACCTACTCGTATCTCATGTCGTTCCCGTCTATTTTTTCTTACCCATCACGATCTGGAGAAATCTGTTCTATTTTATCCTATTCTATTCCCATTCGTCCATTCTGATCAATCAGACTTGATTTTTACCAAGCAAAACTTGACGATCTGGTCGCATCTCTCCCCCCTTGCGCTCATCCCGGATGAATCCGCGGAGCCACTCGTCAATCGCATCAAAGTCTCCACTTTCTTCGCTCTCTTCCACTGCACCCATTTCGGGCTGTGGGATGTCGCCGGGTTCCCTTGGAGAGATTTCGCACCTACTTTTGGACCGAAATCTTGTCGGAAAAGTAGGCTTTTTTGAGTGTTTTTTGGGAATCGATTAAATGGTACTCATGCACGCATAACTTATACACTGCACAACAACGTGCCCCACCTACTCTGGCTCACACACAACCACCATACTAAACCCTTTTTGGATATGTCTCCATCGGGATCGGCGAAAGGTCGCCCCGTACCCACAAGTAATCTGATTATATAACAGCCGCGCCAGGACTACTGTAGTACGCCACCACCTACCTAGGTACGAAGGGACTTGAGCAAAATTCCAAAAAATCGTCTTTATCCTACACTATACGTGACTCGGTATATATCCCCGGGATATCCTTTTTACCGGCGGGAGCGTTTAGGTACGAATCTGACCCTTGAAAAAGGAGTGACCAGGGGTGTTTACTTAGCCGAGCCAATTAGGAGGCCTATTAGCCTTTAATAGACAACGTGTTCTCCTATAAGAATTCACGTGATCCTTCGGCCACTACCCCGAACCGATACCAGCGAGCCTAGTGACGGTTCCGCCGAGCTCGGAACCCCGGCTCCGAGCCATCCCGTTCGAGCCAACTATAACATGGCGTCTCTGTTGGTCAAAGTGGGCGGTCTGACGGAGGCTAGCTAAAAAGGGCTTAGTGCGGCTGGCGTTCCGTGGGTAGTGTGGGTGGGTTCCGTAGTTATACATTCATAATATTATGCGTGCATGAGTACCATTTAATCGATTCCGTTTTTTGAGACTCTCAGTGGGGCGTTGCTCAGCCAGATTTGCCAAGTAACAGACTTAGGGCCCCCTTCGTCCCTCCCCTGTACCCCCCTTACAAACCCACCTTTTTCTATCTAACGCCGATAAAGCCGATTAAAAAAAGATGACTTTTTTTAAGTGTCAAAAGGACAGCTTCTCTTACGCAAGAGAAGGCGAAAAACAAGACTCTTATACTAAATTTTTAAGACGAGAAGTAAGTGCTTAGTCAGCGACCCACTCCTACGCACTCCCACCCGTCCTAACCCACTTCAAATGGCACTAAGCTAGGGCTCGACGCCAAGACGAAGCATTGTATAAGAATATCCTAGACAAAAATCACTCTTTTTACAGTGTCGAAAACGTCCCCAAAAAAGGTGCGAAATCCCTCTCTTGTCGCACCATCCCAGAAAAACCAGAGAAGTCAATCAAGATCATTCGTCACATGTTCTGGGGAAATATTATTCAACAAACCAACTTTGTTTCCACCCAGTACTCTGTACAGTACAGAGTATTCTATCTCATACTACTAACGTCATTTATCAGCCGGGGGTTCTGTTATGTTCCCATATTACTAGCTAACTCTTTCTGATAATCGTAGGTACCGTTACGATTAGAAAGGTTATCTCGGATATCCTTTTTGTTTTTTTCCATAAGATCTACGGAATATCTCAAAATTCCAAACGCAAGGATTCATTAACGTCCTTGAATGTCTTACTATTATCACATTACAACAGCCTTGCTTTCACCCGCTAGAAATACATAAAGGGTCTGGACAGCTCGGGTCTCCCCCTCCTCTTGTCACTTTCTGATATGCCTCCACATGAATCGGATAATTCAATTGGCTTAGAGGGCCATATTGTGGAGTTATACCCTGCCTATAACAAGCCGTATACAGGGGAGGGGGCGACGCGAGCTGTCTAGACTCTTTAATACGAAAACTGTATTATTAGATTTATCTTTATCTCTCTCTTTACTTATACAACACTGAGTGTAGTATACTCGAGTACGGCCGGGGGGTCTAGAGTAGAGGACGTGACTTATAGAGATACCTAGGTAGGATAGGATGGTTACGAGGTACTATAGCGGATAAGATCGAAGAGAGGAGATAGAATAGGTAGTATTCCTATTCTAGTATCCCGCTAGCTAGGGAGTAGTTTAGAAGGTTCTTATGAATAAATAAATAATAGGGTTCTATAGATAGATGTTGTAACCTACCTCTAGCTATTCTTTCTTTACTCATATAAATACTTATAGAATGTCACGGGTCGAATGTCGCGATTCGGTTATTCTTCCTCGTGACCGCGGGACAAGTGGCCGCCTAAGCGAGCATGCATGTCCCACGCTTCAAGCAAACAAACAATGAAGGAAAACTCTTCAAGCAAACATGCCAACACACAACTCCCTCAGAAAACTCTTTAAGCAAACACGACAACACATAAAATCCCTCATCGTGGCGTGATAAGGGATGTGGGAGACGCGGGGGATAAGGAGCTGTTGGGTGTGTGGTGTTTCCGGCATAAGAACCTCGGGTTTTCTCCTCAGATAGCTCTTCTCTCCTTAGCTTTAGGTTCTAAGTAGTGGAATAGCAGTATCCTTCACCGTTCCGTTACATAGAAACGGGGGGAGTAAGGGAATATATATAGATATATAGGTAGATATAATACTCTCGCTATAGATTCGTATATAAAAATAAAACGGTAAAAGACTAAAATATACCCTAATTATCTATTAATAATAGAACTACCCTCTAATTAATATTCTTATAATAAAACTACCCCCGATATACCCCCTTACTACTTTACTTACAAATTTACTAGTAAAGTAATATTTAATGTGACCGTGTGGAGTGAACCACTGCTTGCTGTGATGAATACTGAGTCAAACCAGAAACTGCTATATTGAACGAACAACTAAGTGAGAGAAGAAGAGAGTTCCAGAGGAACGAGAGCCTAAATACAGGAGTCCAGTAGCACGCACGGGCCATGCTACACGTGATCCGCCCCCAGCTCGTCCAACTCCGTAACATTCAAGTTATTATAAGCGAATTAGTATAAGGAGAAGGAGGAGAACTCTTATAAAAAACAGCCTAATATAAAACACCTATTTTATAAAAAGGAGAGCGCTTAATAACAAGAAGACTAGGATAACGTAGTTAAGGCTCTAGAGTAAGTAATTAAGAATATTACTTAGGATTAACGTAGTCCACAAGCGAGTTGGATTCCCAAGCGAAATGGATTTTTTTTCTTGGCACTCCACAAACTTATTCAGAGCGCGTTTTTTCTTAACAAACAAAACGGTCAAGCATTGGACAGAGTCTGATATGATTCTTGCGTTAAATACGCTTCGTAAGAACCCACATTTAAAAGTTAAGAAGGTTGCGCGGATCTATAGAGTACCTTATACGACATTGCTTAATCGAACTCATGGAATATTATCACGACAAGATTCTATCGCTAAATCTCGAAAACTTACAGA